GACCGATTTATTCTGGAACACCCGTTAACATATTTCGATCCTACTTACTTCATGACAGAATGTTCGAAAATAAACAAAAACTAACGAACGGTTCATGATGTTTTGACAAAAGAAGAATTATTCGATACTTCATTTGTGAACAAAGAAATATTGTATGAGTATGATGATGAATATAAATCCATTTGTGATAATTATTTTCACGAAGAGGGTGAAATAGAAATTTATTCAAGATTTCGTCTTGGTTTTGTTATCTACCAATCGTTGTCGTATAGTAGTATCGAAAAAAAAATGAGCTGTCTTGTTTCATTTAAGAATCAACGCTGTCAAAATAGAAAAAATGTTTTGCAACAGTTATATTTTATTTTAAACATGACGGCATTGATTTTGCTTTTATTAAGCAATACGTTTGTTCGAATGAAGTAATTCGGACTAAACGCGCAGATGCATTAGGTGATTTAGCTCATGAATATGTTGATCGATATTATGCATTGATTGATCTTAAGTGTTTTCAATTTAATATTATTGGGGTGCTTGATACAATAGTCGAATGTGTCGTCATCCCATTTCTCGATAAGTATTTGTTTACAGAAATTGTTTATAATTACGAACACGATTAGTTTGGTGTTGTTGGTTTTTCCTAGTATGGATAATAAACTATGCTAATCTATTCTGTTTTTTTATTTTTTTTTCTAAAAGATTTATACGATTCATTCATATTATTGTATTACAAGATTTTATGTAGCTATGCATATTGTGTAAAGTACGAAAATTTATTTGTTTTACTATGAATACCTACTGATGAGCCTACTAATTGTCAGATATATATTATTACTTTTTTTTAAGTACACGTTTACTTTTTCAATTATATACGTTAGTTTTTTGTTTTAATAATAAACGTACATAATATACCAACATTATTTTGTTTCGTTTTTTATAAAATCTTAAGCATAAACATCTACGGAATAGCACGCTGTTACTATTATCTACTAACAATCATTTTACAAACTCATATTGTAATGTAATACTAAGTTTTATCAAAGCTAACAGCTCTAACTTATGAGTCATAAGTAATTAGACAAATGTCGAGCATTATTTCTACATGTTCCTGATGTGCTGCAAAGTTAATTTGTTTTTCCGTTAGAAAGTGCAAAGTCTGAACTTCAAAAAACACGTGAAGCCAAACTTTTTGTGGTTGAGTTTGAGTGAGAAAAAATTTGAATCTCAAGCATCGCCAAAAAAGCTCTGGTAAAGTGCTTTTTCTTTATTTCTTCACTATAGCCTGAAAGAGACAGTTTTTTTGAAAACCAAATAGATAAGAATGTCGCCCACGCAAAACTCTATCGATTCTTTTACTTTCGCAAATCTTCCAGTAATTCATTGATAGTAATAAAGGCGCATATAAAACTTAGTTTTGGTAAAATATACTGTTTTGCATCAGGAAAATACGACACCGAGAAAATCTGTTTTATTCATGGCACAAACGATGTTAGTAAAGACAAACTCTAATGTGAGTTTGTAGAGAATTGAATGCTGCTTCAGAAAATGTATTTTAGCAAAAGGACAAAGTTGATTTAGTATATGAAAATTATTGATTAATTCTAATCAACTCTTTTCTGAATAAAATGAAAAACTTACGAATTCCTAATTGAAAAGTAGATCAAAATATAATTTAACACGTCCTATTCGAAAGAATAATAAAAACACTTCTAGTTTCTATAATTACATAATTTCAAACGTACTCAGTTATTGGAAAAAAATATATTTGATGAGAGAGATAGATAGGAGGCGGCGGAAGTTACAAGAGCTTTCTTGGCGATGCTTGAGATTCAAATTTTTTCTCACTCAAACTCAACCACAAAAAGTCTGGCTTTACGTGTTTTTTGAAGTTCAGACTTTGCTCTTTGCAACGGAAAAACAAATTAACTTTCCAGCACATCAGGAACATGTAGAAATAATGCTCGACATTTGTCCGGTTACTTATAACTCGTAGGTCATGTACTGTAACCTATGATCAAAGTAAGGTGAAAATGCCTTGCCGACCGGCACCCGTGCCGATATATTTCTGCCAAAAAAGTGCCGCACTGAAATCTATCTAATCCGTTTAATTAGTTTTTTCTATTATGGTTGTTTTATACTGAATTTTGTATTAGAGGTCAGTACCACATTGACATGCCAAAACCATGCGACATTGTCTCGGCACTTCTCTTCTGAGAAGAAAAAAATGAAGTCAGGAAGACATTCGAAATATTAGAAGTATACTGTGGTGTTAATATCGACAAAAATTGACAAAACAAAATGGTAAATAAACAAAAATACGTAAAAGAAAACAAAAATAGTTGAGCAAATAAAACTCAAATCAATGGTACTACCGTTTTTATTAAAATTTTAATAGGCAAAAATAGTAAGAACAAATCAATTTAATGGAATTTTTTGACCTAATAAATTTCCTTTGAACGCGTTAAATCAATATTTTCTACATTTAATAGCTTTGAACGCATAAAATGGACAGAAGAAAGTTTGAATGTGTTCGAATGTTTGAAAAGCTAATGTATGTCAGAGCCTTAAGGTTTTTAATTTTTGCTTATGCATTTTTAAATATTCAACGCCTTCAAATGCCCTTTTAACTACCACCCGTTCAAAATACAAACAATATATTCGCTCGCTTTTCTATTAACTTTTGAACAAAATGCGATGGAGACTGGCGGTTTTCGTTATCTTGTAGCCAAGTTGTTCTGTGGAAAATTCATGTCCCATATACCACTTGCAAGTGGTGCACCTTACTCATCTTTGAAAGAGAAGGTTGCCAGACTATGAAAAAAAAATGAATTTTCAATGCCGATAAAGTGGCTCGAGCTATCAGACTGTCCTCTACGATTCTACCCAAGTCCCGAATCTCTAGCTGTTATGGTCAAGGAGATATAGACATTCTCCGACAACATACCTATCAGCCGATTAAAAACTTCGTAACTCATTCATTTCTTGTCCACAATAAGTAAAACTTTCCGAAAACAGTCAGCACAGTTTACAGAATATAGATCAAGCTGAAAAAATTGGGTTTGAGCTATGGATTAACTGGGTGCTTTTCAGAGACCTCTGTAAAAAGCTCAGATGTGAAGTATTGTCATAGGCATGTCTATATCTCCTTGACCATAACAGCTAGAGATTTAGGACTTGTATAGAATCGTAGATGGCAGTCTGGTGGTTCGAGTCACCTTATCGGCATTGAAAATTCATTCTTTTTTCATTGTCTAGCAACCTTCTCTTTCAAAGATGAGTAAGGTGCACCACCTGCAAGTGGTATATGTGAAGAGCCAGTACGGTGCGCCGATCTGAAAAATTGAGATTTCGTCGTCTTTCGAGTAACGATACGTTGAGCCAGATTTATAAAGTTGTTGATGTTTCTCCAGTACGAGACTTGTAAGTATAAAAACCGTAAATTCGTCGATTTACTTTTTTATTTTCTTAATTTTTTGAAAGATTTGACACAAACATAATTAAGAATAAATCTTCAACCATCATCGAAAGGATAAGAACAGTTTGTATTTGCTCAAGAGGTGGAGATAAAGAATCCACGTTTGTTTTCCAGAAATTCTTATCTTATTCCGAACTTTTGATTTCATATTCGGATAGCCCGAGATGATAGTGCTAGATATGGGCACTTTCAGTCCACAACAGGTAGGCGTACACACAGCTATACTCAGACATATCCAAAATGTAACAGAAAGTTGGAAACAATTTCGTCGAAATTAATCAAAGTATTTTATGCCAATGGACAAATATATCAAGCGACAATTTTCTATTATTCATGTAAAAAAAAGAGAAATATCTGTTCATGGATATATCCGTCGTTTTATGGAACCGAAGAAAATCATGTTGTAACCAGAGAATCATTTAAGCATTCATCTGTGTATTATTTTGGTGAACATTTTGGTTTTAATGGAGAATTACTACGTAATTTTGAAGCGGAGGCAATTAGTATGTCACCGTCATCCGAAAAATATACGTATGCGTACAATATTCAAAAAAGACGACGAAGTCCAAATATTTTCTAGTAATTAAGTATTCTTTCTTTATTTTCACAACATTGTGTATTTCTTGTGTTTCAGGTATGCTGATTTACAAAGACGAAAAAATTCAGTACTGTTTGGTTTTTGTTTGAAATTAGTTAGTTTGAATTTTTTATGGGCGAAGAATTGATTTATTTTCCATTAATAGACATTCATCTAGACGATTATTTTAACTACATAACTCCTCTATTATGTGAATATTTTGTTTATTTTTGGTCTAATCATTCGTTACGCAAGAAATATTGTGCGAATTGTTCAAAAGCAATAATAATTGATGGTCACAAAAAATACCGTCGAAGAATTTGTAGATGGGTGATTCCACCGGAAATCTGACACTTTATACATGACATCTTCCAAATCGCATTTCAATACGATATTCGTGTTCAGCATGGTCGATAACCTCACTTTAGTGATAAAAAAGCGTAATGTTACTTTATCTACGTCTTTTTCATGCTCAGCAGTTCTACAACTTGTTTTTCCCGAGGTATTTATTCGGACAATCTTTACAATTAATTTTATACAGGGCGTAGTTTACAAATACCCATATTGAAAGCTTGTATACCAACATCCCTCTACATGAAACAATTGAAATCATTCTTAAAAAATCGTATAATTCAGATTTGAAGCCACCTTAATGAAACGTACAGGCATGAGGAAATTGTTAGTATTCGCAACAAAGAATTTTCATTTTCTGGTTAACGGAAAATATACAATCAACATGACGGAGTCACCAATACTAATCAATACTAATATTACTTTAGTTTTCACAACTAAAGTTTTGTGTTTTAATATACAGATGTATATCTGTCATCAATACCTTTGTTTTAAGAAAGAGCCCGAACTTTGTACACACAGAACTGGAAGGCTCAATCTCATATTCAGCTTGCATAATAATGCAATTTTTATTTCATTATAAAAAAACAACCAAAAACCTTATGATTTTTCTATTAATTGTGCTTTTAATTCATATGGCCCTGTTTGTTCATTACGTTCTAAAATACAAAATTCACAATTATTAAAATCTTTTAATTGATAATGTTTTTCTACAGTCCAACGAAAATATCTCATTAGAAACAATTAAAATATTAGCAACAGGTGCATAGCCAACATTCATTTTTCTGAACAAAGTGTCCAAAAATAATGCACAACGATCATAGACATCAGCACCTGATTCATCATTACGAAAACGATAAAAGAAATCGCCAACTTTTTCTTGATCAATTAATTCTTGTTCATGTATAGATGGATCCATAAGATTACCCCATTCTTGTTCACATAAACGTGGATCTTCGCACACATTTAAGATTTGGATGGAAGAGAAGGATCTAAAGGATAAAGATAGAGAGAGACAGTATACAGTTACCGTATAGTGCGCATATAGTAGGAAAAGATAAATATATTAGACGAAGATTTGAATATGCAGTATACTGGGTATATCGAGAAATGTTTGCCGGAGTCTAACAATAAGACTCATGTCCCTCCTGCTAAAGAGAACTTGGCTATTTTTGATTCGTTAAACTGCAAGATGAGTTTAAGCATTCGGGTTGGCTTCTTTAGCTGCCTATATAAGGCTTTTTTATGTTCTGCACTATCTAATGAGGTGTCCGAGTGATATGCTGCTGAACGGGCACAGAAAAGGCTTCAACTTGAACTTTGGTGCCAAGTCCTGGTTGATGGTACATTTATCGATCTCATGTGACACGGGCACCGATAAACATCGTTTTGTTGGGATCCGATCCGAGCTCCTTTTAAGCCGATCTCAAATCCAGCCAAGCTCTATGCCTTAGGTAGGTCCGATTCAAGAGGAAGAAAATTTTAGAACTTTGTCAATTTTTCGAAGTTAAACGGGCAAAGACCGTGTATCAGCGCGCGCAGACTAGACTTTAAATATCTATTTCAGGTTGGGTTTCGAAGAAGAAATTTAAAGCCCTGAACGGAATAGAAGCCCAAAAGACTTCTATTTTGCCTCGCAAATCAAGGACTCACGGGTGGACTTCTATTAAGGACCACTTTTCTCTCTCAAAGAGGTCGGTACTTGAAAGAATTTGTAAAAATCCGCTTAGAACTCATTGAGTACCGAGTACATTGTTCTATTTTCCTTTTTTCATTTGAGCGTAGAATAATATCGCAATGTGTGAAGGTCATTCATGCATGCACAATAGAAAGTAAGAAATATAAAGAAATAAATATAACAGGTTAATTTTTGTGACCGAAGTGAGGTACTTTGTGTACATCTTCAACGGGCTTGAAATGATGTTGTTCTGATGACAGCAGAGAGCAACTTGAACCAGGTCGGATCGTAGAAGTTCGGAGATAAATCACCTCGGATTAATGGATCGGATCGGAAAAAAACGATAAAAGTTGCCCTCTCTGGACGATAGCTCCTTTTTATACAAAATGTGTACAACTTATTGATCAAAATACAGGATAAAATCAAGTCGGATGAACGAACTTGTCACGTGTAGCAGGATACATGACAGATTCTTAACCCTTTACCCCCTCTTGGTCACTGGAGTGACCATTTGTAGAACAATTGCAGAAACTAAAGGAAACATTGGATTCAAAAACGATAAGAACCTTTTTGTAGCAAACTTCATCGGCAATTGCTTGGTAAAAAGAACATTTCTCTTCATTGCTTCGTTACAGAAATATCGGGTCTACAAAATCAATAATTTTGAAAAATGAAAAAAATCGAAAATTTTGAAACAAAATGTTCTCTACTCGT